CCACAAGCACCAAACTAACCAGGTAACAGTTGCAATAGGCAGAACAGGGATCATGTCAATACCAAACTGCAGAGGCACATGGCAGAAAGCACAGTATTAGTACAGTGCTGAAACATTACACAGAAGCGTCTGGAGAGAACGGCAAAGCATGTAGTATGCCTGTCCACTGAACAACATCGCAAAGGGTTAAATTCCAAACGACATCAGCAATTTCAGTGTGCTGCCAAAACTTTACAGCATGAAAACAGGCATCGTATTCTATTAGGATTTTAAGTTACTGTTCATGATGTCTCTCAGCCTTTTCTGATACTACAAACCCTATGAAACAGGGTTCCCTTTGAACTCTGGAAAAGTTCCTTTTCCAGAAGTACAATATTCCAACTCAAGGCTCATCTACTCAGACAAACACCAGAATAAGACTTGTAGTCATTCATGCAGGAAGTTAGTTAATAAACTACAGACAAAATCTGGAATTATTTTATTATAATTATAATTAATAATGTATTATGGTGATTATGGTTTGGCTGAGAACAAACAGGCCAGCCTGAGCTAGTCTGAGATAACTGCCAAATCTTCTGCACATGTGACAGATGGTGGAAGCATTTTAAAGATTCCCTGTGCACAAGAACTCTGTGTAACGGGGGCTCAGATTCAATGCAACAGCAAAGTAGCTGAAGCGGGTCATGATAAAAGCACACTAAGCAGCATAAGCTACCCTTAAACCTTTGGTTTTCATCTGAAGAAAAGGTGAAAAAAAAAGGGTAGTGCATTCAGGGAATGTGAGGGGCAAGTGGTTGCACAACTTATGTTGACTGTTGACTGATGGAAGTGAAGGAAATCGTGGCTTTTGATACAGGGCACTAAATTCAGCAGGTATAGCGAGTGGAAGGACAATGGTTCAACTCTGTGGAGCTATATCCTCTTCTAAAACGGCTTGTTTAAACTTCCTTAACAATTTTTATGGACAACACAGTGTGGTTTGGAAACATTGCAACTTTCTATTCAATAAACCTTATTCTTCCCAAGACCATAATTCATTTTGTGTGCTTACGTCTAATCTCTTTTGGCTCATCTTACTTTGAAAAGGATTCTGAACTCCAAGAATGTTCCTCAAATACTCCCTCTAAGAGTCCCAGAAGGCAAATGCTAGAGTGTAGAGTAAGGCAGAACAATAAATGAAAAGTAATATCATACCACTGAGACCTCTCCCAGCCACATCCCAAGTTACACCCGCTGCAGAGAATCCATCTTCTTCTCTAATTAATTTCTTATGGTATCTGAAGCAAGGTACGTTTCAAGGAATAGGCATTTGTAGACAAAAAAAAGAGTCCAAATTAGAAAAAAAATCAAAAGAAGAATGATACAGCCGTTGACATCTGATGCTGCCAGTGTCCCTTCAGCCTTTCA